GTGCAAATACACTTGTCAGTTCTGTGCTTAGCGTCACAGTGCTAACCTTGATTTTGTTACTGAGCCTTTTTCGTGCATATTGGTGTTTTTCTTTGGACTAGGTCATCTGGGAGCAAAGCAGGACAAATTTGGGCCCTTGTGTTTTTCTTTGGATTAGGCAATCTGGGAGCAAAGCAGGACAAATCTGGGCCTCTGAAGGATCAACGGCTTTCAAGTGTCTCATCTCAGCCAGGTTCTGTGCAGCTCTCCTAAGCAACATCTCTGATTGTGATGAGACCTTTAACTACTGGGAGCCTGTAAGTGGCTTTCTCTCCTTGGAGATACTTGGGAATTTGTAATTGGCCTGTGCAAATGCAGGTGTATCTAGAACCCTGTGCTAATCTCTGTGTTTCAAAGAGAAATTTTCTTATTCAGTAATTCAGAGATAAGAAATGTAAAACTGTCTACGCTGTGCAATGCTTATTTATTTAATCTCCGTTGTAGACACACTACCTCGTTTATGGAAAGGGGTTTCAGACATGGGAATACTCTCCAGCCTATGCCATCCGCTCTTACGCTTACCTGTGGCCTCATGCCTTACCAGCTTTGTTCCATGCCAGAGTGCTACCAACCAACAAGGTAAATCAGATGTGTGAAAGCTTTTGTGATGAATAAATGCACGTTTAGTTTATTTCAAACAGCTGCTTTGTTGTTTGAGGTAACAAAATTACTTTTTTGTGTGTTTACAAACCCCTAGTTTGGTGTTTACAAACGCTAGCCTCCCTGTAAGGATTTGCAAGGCTTTGTAAGCTGACTCAACAAGGTCCAAGGAAAAGTGGTTGGGAAGTTGCAGGGAAATGCTCTCAGGCTCCGGTTTGGTCGAGAAGCTATTGCAGTGGGGCTGGGAGCTCTTTGGCCTTTTGAGTGTGCGCAGGCCTGGGGACAGTTATTTGGCAGCCACAGGCTCTCATTCACCTCTGTGACTTTCACCCTGACTGGCAGCCACAGGCTCTCATTCACCCCTGTGAGTTTCACCCTGATGCTTTGATTTATTTTTTCAACAAGCTACAAAAAATAAATCCATGTTTTGCAAAGGGTATTGCAAACTGACCTCAGAAAGGTAGAAGAAAAAGCGCTGAATATGCATTCTGCTTGGGTATCCATTGCCATACTTGCCATATTTCTGCACAACAGAAAACAAGAGAGGGATAGTTCTGGTGAGGCAGTGGACTGTGTTCGTTTCTGTGTTGTAAAGGACTTCAGTGTTACAGGGTTAGGCCTCGAGCTCAGGGGATGTTCTGTGTTGTAAAGGACTTCAGTGTTTGAGGATTAGGCCTCGAACTCAGGGGATCTTCAGTATCCCTTGGTGTGGACTGTGTTCGTTTGTGTGTTGTAAAGGACTTGAGTGTTTGAGGGTTAGGCCTCGAGCTCAGGGGACCTTCAGTATCCCTTGGTGTGGGACCTAGGTCTGCCAAATCACTTCCTTCACCACTGCTAAACTCATCTCATTTTGTTCAGAACTTTTGTTCTTGGGACTGTCTTGTTGATAATAGGTACACAAGCTTCACTGCAAGCCTTGTTCAGACTCTCTCTTTCTCTTCTAGGTTCTTCTATTTCCTCTGATTCTCCCTGGCCTTCCTGAGCTGCATTTGTGAACTCTACTTCTACAAGGGAGTTTTAGAAACTGTCTAAATTGAATAATTTGGAGCAATGTGAGTAACATGTTAAGTTAGTGCCACAGGAAACATGCTCCGAAACTCGTGTGTAGATATGCCAGATAAATTGAGCTACCTCACAGTGAACCTTGAATCTCTTGTTTGTAACCCACAAATAGTGCTTCTTGCTAATAAGTATAAAGATGTGTGCCTGTTTGCAATAAAGCGAATTCCGTTTTCCACCATCTCGGAGTTCGTGTGTGCTTCTCCACACTAAACTCACCTCATTTTGTTCAGAACTTTTGTTCTTGGGACTGTCTTGTTGATAATAGCTGCACAAGCTTCGTTGCAAACCTTGTTCTGACTCTGTCTGTGTCTGTGATTGTTGCTCTCTGTAATGTTATCTGCCAGAGGTGTTTTTATCTACTTAAAGCAATAGCTCAAACAGACAATTATCTTCTCTAAGCTGGATTTTTGTTTTTACCTGCTGCCTCTTCATTTGTGGCTTTCCAAGTATTACCCTGCATGACTTTTCGGTTGGCCTTTAGAAACTGTCTAAATTGAATAATTTGGACGAATGTGAGTAACATGTTAAATTATTGCCACAGGAAATATGCTTTGGTGTTCTGTGTAGATGTGCCTGGTAAATTGGGCTACTTAGAAACTGTCTAAATTGAATAATTTGGACGAATGTGAGTAACATGTTAAATTATTGCCACAGGAAATATGCTTTGGTGTTCTGTGTAGATGTGCCTGGTAAATTGGGCTACTTCACAGTGAACCTTGAAAATATGTGTTCTCGTGATAACTTAATGAAGTATTGGTCTGAATTCCACTGTTAGGACAAAATTGTGTTCTCAGATCTGTCAGCCACATCTCCGCTGCAGCATTTTGTTGACTACACCTTCCTTTTCTAACTGATAGCAGCAAGCAGTGTGGGAGTGCTGTAAACTGAACTCTGCTGGAGCAGAGCGAGTGGTGCTGTGTTTACTTACAGTTAGTGTTACTGGAATACTTTGACTGGTGCTCTCTGTAATGTTATCTGCCAGTGGTGGTTTTATCCACTTAAAGCAGTAGCCTGAACATACAATTACCTCCTCTAAGCTGGATTTTTATTTTTACCTGCTGCCTCTTCATTTGTGGCTGTCCAAGTATTACTCCACACCTATTGCATCAACTACCCACCCTACATGCCAAACAACATTAAGCTGCAGTCCTTCCTGGATCCATAATCATTTCTGAGTTGTGGGAGTTCCCACTGTTCCTTTGAACTTCATTTAACAATGAGTGACTGTCCTCCTGCATATGAGTAGGAGAGATAATCCATCAGCCTTTCTTCTAACTCTCTTCCCCTACGGGGTTTCATGTTTTTATCCACTTAAAGCAGTAGCCTGAACATACAATTACCTCCTCTAAGCTGGATTTTTATTTTTACCTGCTGCCTCTTCATTTGTGGCTGTCCAAGTATTACCCTGCAGGACCTTTCTGTTGGTGGTAGTCTGGTTTTAACAAGGTTTTGTGACAGTTTTAGCCTGATATTGCTACAGCATTGCAGACTCCCTAAATTCCTGAGATTTGGATGAGTGCACCTCACACTGGTAGAGACAAAGTCTTTTGTAAAGTTTTACACTAGTGTAACTTAGGAGGGTATGAAATCCCAGGCCAGAGGCAATCATGCTGCTCTTCAGGTTGTCTTCAGCAGCTGAGTAATGAGAATCACTCACCTTAAAGCTCTGAGGTTGCCCCATGGATTGTTTGTGATTCTGTGTGCATTGGATACTGTTCTTTTTTGTACTGAGGGTATTTTCTGTGGTATCTAATTTTCTCTTCCTTCCTCAGGGCTGTATGCAAGAAGTTTGGGCTTCATGTGAGCCGGCTGATGTTGGCCTTCTTAGTACTCAGCACTGGGATGTTTTGCTCATCTGCAGGTCAGTTTGCTTAACAATGACACTAACAAATACTTTGTTCATAGAAACCTACGACAGGCCCAGAGAGAAGAAAATCCACAGCACTAAAAAGTCTCTCTAGCAATTGTTCGTTGCATTCTGCTGCAGATGTTTCTCATGGCACTGTGATGATAGAGTAAGTGTTGATTCAAATTGTGTTCCCACCATCGCTGTCTTGTATGTTTCCATTTCCAGGGCATGTCTGTTTGCAGCCTCCAGTCTCTCTTCAGTGGGCCATGCCTTTTAAGCAGGGTCTTGGCCTACCTTCCTTCAACATATTTTAATCCAGGGAAGGAGGGTCATACTGTCATTTGCTTTTGTGTCCTCTCTGCTGTGACTGGCTGTACCCCTTTGCCTAGCCAACCACTCTAAAACTTCTAAAACACCTGCTGTAGGTGTTGAGTAAAGTGCAAAGAGAGACTTGGAGCAAAGGTTTTCTGTATCGTGTGCATACAGAAACTTAAAAGGAAATACTACAACTTAGGAATGCAGAGATTTAATATTTTACCCTTTATTGGTTATGGTGAGTGGGAAAAGGACTTGTATTGTGTTTGCAGTGTCATGGGGTCTCCTCATTCTTCACTTACTTCCTACCAGTCTCTGCTCAGTTATTTCAGAAACTCTACACAGTCAGCTCACATTTTCTGCTGCCACTTGAGCAGGTTCGTTTAATTTTTTTCCAGCCCAGCAGAATATAGAGAGTGCAGTAAGTGTTACAGGTGGTAACTGTGCGTGCTGTCAGCTGGTTACCACTGCTGAGTGCCACTGAGGAAAGAGGCCTTCATACTCAGAACAAGAAGACAAATCCTCTTTTTTTAGCTTTTGCTGAAATGAGTGCCCAGTATAGCATCCCAGCTCCAATGAAAAGAATGAGAAATGATTAGCCTTACCTTGGCCTCCTGCAGTTCTCCTGCTGCGGGAAGGCTGTGCTAACTGCTTCCTTTCTTTGTGTTGCAGCTTTTCTCCCAAGCAGTTTCTGCATGTACACCACGGTGATTGCCATGACTGGCTGGTATATGGACAAGACCTCTGTAGCAGTGCTGGGAGTGGCTGCTGGAGCCCTTCTGGCCTGGCCCTTCAGTGCAGCTCTTGGGTAAGGAGAGCAGGGCGCGGGAGTTTTGCACTTTGTCAAAGGTTTCTTACCTGGTTTGGGAGAAGGTAGAGGCTGGAGAGCAGGAGGAAGAAACTAGCAGAGACTGAGCTGTCAGCCAAGTCTAGGATCATTGCTACATCTTCCATAGCCTGATCTCTTTGCTTTTGAAGAACGTAGATTGGGAAGATTTCCTGACTCTACTATACTGAAAGTAAAACCTGAGTTGGATGACTGAAATACGGAGTAGAAATAGAGCCCGATGAAGTCATGTTTCTCTGCCAGCTACTGCCCTGCTTATTTTGAAGGAGCAGAAGAACCTGCAGTGGGGAAAGACAGTCTCCAGTTGATACCTGGTCTCTCTTTCAGGCTCCCTATTGCCTTTGACTTGTTGATACTGAAGCGGAGGTGGAAAAGTTTCCTAAACTGGTGTGTGGTGTCATTGATCCTGTTTTTGGTAAGTGCCTCTAACAATGCAAAGAGGTAAAGGCTTGGACTTGCAGTAGAAGGGTTCCATTAAGAAAATCAGATGGAGCTTTTGGGCAGTCCAGCTTCTGGCACTTTAAATAACAGCTGCTTTCTTCCAGGTGCCATTGGTGGTTGTGGACAGCTATTACTATGGGAAGCTGGTAGTTGCACCTCTCAACATTGTTTTATACAATGTCTTCACATCTCACGGACCTGATCTCTATGGTGAGTTTAGGAGAGCGAGGCATGAAGGGAATCGATGGTTTCCTTGCTACTGTCTTGATACTGTGATCCACCTGGTCTTGATTGCCAGTTGTTTTTCCGACCTCTGAAGGGCTGCAGTGCCAGCTTTGTGACACAGGATGCCTCCCTTGAGCTGGGAATCTGCAGGATTTTGCCATGCTGTCAGTACTAAGCTGGGTTTGTTCGCTCAAGTTCCGTAAAGTGTCGTTGAGCTGTCTCTGTGTGACAGCAGAACTGTTAGTAGCAAACATGTCTGGATGCTACGCAAGTGCAGTGGGCCCAAGTGATCCGTGTGTGTGTTTGTAAGCTTTATCCCGAGTTCTTGGCTCTTTGTCACAGTCAGGGTGCAGAACCTTGGGAAAGTGGGGAACTGCAGAATCCATAGTTCTTTTACTTCACGTCGGGTCTCTGCAGACCTCCTGAGTCCATACTGTGCCTTGGGTATGTCCTTGCTTCTTGGCAATGTATGGCCTGGGCTTTGCTGGCAAGCGGGATCTGAGGTTACAATAGAGGCTTCTAATCCTCAGGCAGATCTCTGTGATGAGGGGTACCCTCGTACTGGCCACAACTGTGTGACTTTAATCTGAGCTCTGAACCTTGATGACAATGCTGTGTTTGTTTGGGAGCTGCTCTTCACAAAGTTGTTCATAGCATATATTTCTAGAGCTGAAGAGTAGAAAAGTAGCATTGTATTTCTAGCAGGGATTCAGAGGGGTTGGCAGAGACTTCAGGGAGCTTAGCGTGCAGAGTCCTTGTGTCATCTCAATCATCTGTTTAAGCCCTGTCAAGATGTTCTAGGAGGCATTTAGCAATGGTGAGTTGCCTTTAGCAAGGCTTTCTCGGGCAGTGCCCTGCAGGCCATACACGTTGATTCATTTGAAGGGTGTTTTGGGTGGTGCTGAGTGGCGATTTGTTACTTGTGCTGTGGCACAGCAGGGGAACAGTGGCTTTGCCATGGTTTTTCATCTCTGCAGGAAGGCTCTGAAGACTCTTGCTGTGAATTTTCTCTAAGTAAACTCCAGGCTCTGTCTCTGACAGGTTTTGGCACGGGCTTGTGCCTTACCTTTTCCACACTGGTGCATGAGTTGTTTCCAGAAGCCTCCAGGGACCAGTCTATTCTGAAGTGTTTTATTCTTAGTGGCATTCGTATAACATCCTCAGGCTAGTGTAAAAGAGCCTGCTTGAAATTGCTCTTTAATGCAATGTGGCCAGGACAACACTGTGTGTTTAGAAAGCTTCAAACCACTTGGGAAAAATAACACTGCTGGAGGAGATGAAAAACTGGCCAGTCCTTTTGGCTTCGGAGCTGGGATTTCCCAACATTCACATGATGGGAATAGGAACTGCTGGAGGTTGCAGAATCATCAACCCATTTTATCTTCAGTATAAGCACCAGAGTGTTTTTTCTTTTGTCTGCAGATTGGAGTTCTAGAGACAAGGTTTGATTTTAATTTGTTTTCAAGATTTTTTTTTGTCTTTAGCAATGCGTCACTTTTGGATAATCACAGTGAATTGATGTCTGCTGCTGATTATCTCAGTCTGTGTCAGGCAGAGAAAGAGCAAAGCTGGGGTTACATCTTGATCTCATACGTGCTTGTATTTATAAACTTTTGTATCTTTTTCTCATCCTTTAGGTACAGAACCCTGGTCCTTCTATTTCATCAATGGCTTTCTGAATTTCAATGTGGTATTTGTTTTGGCGCTGCTTGTGCTGCCGCTGACCTGTCTCATGGAGTGTCTGCTTCAGAAATTTCATGGTGAGTGCAAGACAGGCAAGACAGCTGTAAGAGCCAAGCACAGACAGTCTGGATCTCAACCTTGTTACTAAAGGCAGAGCTTACTTGCCAAAGAGCAGCTCCCCTTTATTGGAAGTGAAACTAGGTTCAGGGAAAGTCTTTAAAATAATAGGAGAATGCCTGGAGCTCATTACTCGGTTCAGTATTGACCCCGCAATGAAGTTGCTGCGTAGAAAGAACATGCAGTGAGGTGCATCTGCTTAGGTGCCGACTGTGAAAGAGCAGAAGCATGTTTTTCTCTATGGATGGTTCCCATGTTCCTTGCCTACACCTTAGGAAGAACAATGTGAAGTATCTATACCTAGAGTGAGCTTAAATTGTAGCCTTCAGCCAGACATGCAAATGGATTGGAAATAGCCCATCAGAAATCTTAAAGGGGAGAGAAGCTATGTACTGATTGTTGTTTCCATCGTATCTGCAGCTGGGAGCGGTAGCTGTTAGAGTTATCTGGGGAACCTTTTGCTGGCTCTTCCATTGTTACTTTTTATACCACTGCCAGAGTGTTTGCTGCAGCAGCTTGAGAGAGCAGAGTTGTTATTTTCTGTTTGATTGTTGGGGCTCAGCCTACGTGAGGGCATCCTCTGGTCTCTACTGCTGCTGCCCATGTTGAGATTGAACCTGGACTCTTCAACTTGCAGCACTGAGCTCTGAACAGTCTTGCTACCCCTGTGCTTTGGGAAGTGCCCCCATATAGGTGGGTTTACTGAGAGCAGAGAAGGGAGAAACTAGAATATTCCCTACTCTGTATTGAGCTTTTGCTTAAATAAAATTACGTCAGTTAAAACACATGACATTTGGCAAGTGACTACAGAGAAAAAAAGGTGTTGAGGAAGTGTGAATTCTTCTCTGTGATTTTTCTGAGGAAGACTCATAAGGCATCAGCAGCAGCCTCCAGATTCATCACTCCAGTTAGGTCTCTGATTACAAGAAACAAGAACATCGTAATCCTTACTTGAAAACGTGTGTCAATGGGTATTTGCTTCTATCTGTTCCTTGCATATGACTGACATGCTGTCAGAAACCAGTAAAAGCTCAGTAGGAGATCCTGTAAATGCAAGATTTCCTGCTGTTCACTTGTTCTTGTACTCTACAGCAGGAGCAGTTCTGCCAAGTGCTTTGTTCTTATTTTCTGTGAAATGCCTTTAGTTTAATTGCTTAACCCTGCTGTTGGGAGTTTCAAGGGTGCAGAAAAGGGACTAAAAATTGTCATGCATTGTAGAACCCTCCTCAGTGTGACTAAAATTCAGGGTAATTGTTGTTATTTTTGAATCAGTTATTTCCTCTGTTAAGCAGAAGGTGCCTGAGAGACCTCTCATGCTGTTATTTTTTTAATGAAGCAATGAAGGTTGTGGAAACCGTTTGTAAGTGGAAGAGTAGGTCCAGAGGAGATCCTTTCTGATCTTTGTATGTGTAGCATAACACCCAGTTCTGCTGCTTCTGATTGCCTGTTTGGTCATTGCAATTCTTGATCGGTTTTGTCTCTTGCTTGGATTCACTAATGCAGTTCCTTGTTTTCTGCTTTTGGATTTCGAAAGCCTGGTAGGTTGTTGGTATTGTCAGAGTATAAAAAAACTATGTGATTAAAATGCCATACTGACTGTTTGGACGTGTTACCTGGATTTTAGCAACATGGCTGCTTAGAATGTGGTGTGTTTGTGTCTGAAGGCAATAGTTTGGGTGTGAAGAATGGGCTTTTGAATGTGAGATACCATTGTGCAAGAGAGGGAATAGGATAAAACACCTCAGCCCTATATTATTAATTTGCTGACTTTGTTTCAGTTCAGAATCTGGGCCGTCCCTACTGGCTGACGCTAGCTCCTATGTACATTTGGATCATGATTTTCTTCAGTCAGTCCCACAAAGAAGAAAGGTTTCTCTTTCCCATCTATCCCCTCATCTGCCTGAGTGGTGCTGTGGCTCTGTCTGCTCTTCAGGTAAGTTTTAGTGGAACCGGTGTTTTTAACAAGCTCATACCTTTAGGAAGCGTAACTGCTAGCTGTCTTCTTCAGCTTTGCTTCTCAAAGTTTGGAAACATCTGTGTCTGTGGTACAATCTACAGTGTTTACACAGTTCAGGACTGTCCTGTGCGTAACTAATCTGTTAGCCATTGTAGTTTTCATTTTTGAACCACATTTCATGGACAGGTGTTGAGATTCTGGAAACAAACTGCACAGCTGTTCTGAAATGTATGTGTTACTGATTTCACAAGTTAAACCATAATCTACCTGTACAGGTTGATTGAGAGAGTGTGTAGAAATCCATTAGTCCTCTGTAAGATGTGACGTAAAAACAAAAAATATTTGAGTTTTCCCTCCTGAGTGTCATACAGAATGAGCTCAACTGATAATCTTGGACTTACAGACTGCTTAACAGCCCAGCAGAAAGAGATCAATTTTCATGGCTTTATAAGGTGATCGCATTAAAAGCTTATTTGGGATTTTGTGAAGGGTTAAATGGTTGAGAATATTTCCTTGCCACTGATTATCTCATGATTACTTTGAATTGTTCTCCTATCCCAAGTGGGAATTTCTCATATGGAGCGCTTGTGATGTTGTTGTACAAATACAACACAACATCCAGGAGATGTCATGAGGATTAGGAACCTCCTTTAAGCATTGTGCCTCCTTTGCCTGCTGTTCTGCAAGCTCTAAGGGGCAGGAATGTGTGTGCAGGAAATGCATTTTGCTGTCTTCTGCTAGGAATCCTTCACTGATTTGAAAAAGGAAAAGTAGTCTTGTTTAGGCGTTGGGAAACTGGGTTGGACGTTTGGAAGAGCCCAAAATTGTGTGTTTGGTAAATAGCACTTGAAACACTTCACAGAGCAAAGCACTAAAATAGATGCATGTAAACATTCCTAAGGCTCAAGATTATTCATCTTTTCTCTGTGAAGAGGCAGAGGTGCAGGCAGTAGTCCCTGTTGCAGTCTGTTCCAGCTGTTTAGCCTCATTCTGCTATTACTGCTGTGTCCTGCTACACACGCCTCGCTGGCTCTTCTTGTCCTGGGCTCCCCAGCAGCACTGCCTGCACCCCTGAAATCACTCTTGCTCTTCCCCTGGTCCGTTGCTATTCTGACTGTTGATCTGTCACTGCAGTGCTAAGCTGGAGTTCTTGCATTCGTACAAGATCAAGCTCTGTAATGGCAACGGTTTTATGGCTCTGACTGAGAATTCCTACTACATGCTGGCAGAACATTCATCAGAGGGCAACGGTTTAGGGCCTTTGCCTAACGTGCCATTAGGAAAAATCTAGTCTATATTTCCGTCCTGCATATCTTAATGCTGTTTGACATTTTGTCCGATATTCAGCATCCATCGGAGAATTTAGAACTGATTGCCCACTAGTAGTACAAGCTTATCAGAGTCTGCTCCTCCAAACCACATAGTTCTGGCTGTTATGAGGAAAAATGCAAACAAGACAAGGGGAACAGAAACCAGGTTAGGAGAGGAAGTAAATAATCACTCCTGCAGAAAGGCAGAGCAGGAAGGAGGGACCAAGCCGAGTATTGGATGTTGTTCTTCCTGGGTATTCCCAGAAAGGCTTCTGAATTAGAAAAGCTTAAATTTCAAAGTGGCTTGTGTTTAAAAGTGAATGCAGAATACACTCTGTGTTAGGAAAAACTTTTTCCCTGTGAGGGTGACAGAGCACTGGAACAGGCTGCTCAGAGAGGTTGTAGAATCTCCTCTGGAGACATTCAGAACCCGCCTGGAAGCGTTCCTGTGTGACCTACTCTAGGTCATCCTGCTTTGCAGGGGGGTTGGACTTAGACGATCTTTCGAGGTGCCTTCCAACCTCTAACGTTCTGTGATTCTGTTTGTTCCTTTATCCGCTTCAAAGTAGTTTGTGCACACAGGGTCAGCAGCCTTTGGTCAGTCAGTAAATCTGTGTCGTGGAACTGCTAGAGAAAAAGTCAGTCCAGCAGTGAAAATGAGGCCACTCTGTGTAGGGAGGTTCTACGGAAGGGTCTGAAGGGACAACTAAGCTGGAGCCCTGGTAGAGAGCACTTTGCAGTTTGGCTGGAGGCCTTCTTGGGGAAAAGAGCAGCAAACGTCTTTAAATACCCCAGGTTATCAGTTAAGAAACGTCACTGAATCGTGTGAGTTTCTCTTCATTTTTTTTTATGGGTCTGAATGAAAAAAAGAGGACCAAATATCTGATGGGAGATTCAGGCACTGTTGTAAGCCCCCATGAAAAATAGAATTTTGCTAAACATATCAGAGTTTGACTAATTTAATATTTTTTTTTAAATCTTTCCTCAGAAATGTTACCATTTCATATTCCAGCGCTACCGCCTGGAACACTACACGGTCTCCTCCAACTGGCTGGCTCTGGGGACTGTCTTTCTCTTTGGCCTTTTGTCACTGTCACGCTCTGTTGCCTTATTCAGAGGTTGGTATTTTAGACTTGTTCTGTGCTTTCCTGGATACTCGTTTTGGAAAGTCTTCAGGCATGCCAAAGTTGTGCTGCTTTGTGACAACAATGCTTTGTGTCAACAATGACATCCGCAAGTTTAGGTGGCATTGTTGCGGCGAAAGGAGTAAGTTCTGATGGTCACCACTAATGAATTATGTGTCTGTGTGTGTACATGCACATTCACAGATGTACATATGAATGTGTCGCTCGAGGTATATTAGCTAAAAATCTGCTGCCCTTCACCTTCAGCCAGTGTAACTGTGCTGATACAAAACCAGACTAGAATTAAAGCAGATATTTTAACCTTCAAACATATGAGCCCACTTGGGAAAACATTTTCCTGTGTAAAACTTGTCAGCAGATGCATGTGTCCTTGAGTACTTTCTTCAGTTGGAGCCATGCAGTGAACCTTCCCAACTCATCAGTATTCTTTTGCTTGATGGTAGCCAGTGACAGTCAGAACAGGAAGATGTGAGTGAAGGTGGTAGCACTTCTAAAAGGAGGGCGAGCTTTGAAATCCAGACACTTCATAGCATAGACCAATTAATTTATTCGATAAGTTACCAGTTTAAAAGTTACATGTGACCTGTTTTCTGCAGACTTTCAAAAGTAGTCTTGTAAAGATCACCTACTTGAGCCTTACTTACAACTTTCTGCCTTCTCTAGGCTACCATGGGCCCCTGGACCTGTACCCAGAGTTCCACAGAATTGCCACTGACCCAAGTATTCACACGGTGCCAGAGGGGAGGCCGGTTAATGTCTGTGTGGGAAAGGAGTGGCACAGATTTCCAAGCAGCTTTCTCCTGCCAGATAGGTACGTTGTACAATTTGGTGAGATTCATAAGGAGGGATCCTCTCATAAGAAGTATTTAGAAGAGTAACCTTCAAGACCTTTTATCTCGGTTGACATCCAAACCAAAAAATTCTGAAGTTTGTTGTCAGCAAATTATGTTAGCCCCAAGCCTCTGAAAATTTGGCGTGTGGCAGTGAAATGTCCTTCGTTATGCTTTGGTGTTCTTGACGGAAGATGTTACTAGCTCCTGCGTTTCCCTGCTGGGCTTTCTGACACTGTTCTCTGCAGTTGGCAGCTCCAGTTCATCCTGTCAGAATTCAGGGGCCAGTTACCAAAACCGTTTGCCAAGGGACCGTTGGCTACGCGAATCATTCCCACTGACATGAATGACCAAAACAAGGAGGAGCCATCTCGATATGTAAGGATTATGTTCCTCTTTTCTTCTCCTTACCTCATTGTATTATTTTTATTCATATAATGCTTTTGATTGAGTCTCCCCATTTTGTTTCCTGGGGATTACACAAGTTACAGAACAAAAACAGGCTTTCTTCAGCACTTGGAAATTTTCCCGTTTATGCAAGTGGTTCCTGTTGAAATTTCGTCTGTCATTTAAAGACATAATAATAGGCAGAAGAAGTAATAATTGCTAGTTACTGCAGTTTTGGGTTTAGTATGTGTTACTGGGATTAACAGGAATGTGAACTGGATAAGGAGTTTATAATCCACCATAGAAAATGTTTGTCACCGAGCAGGGATTGAAACTTTCCTTTGCACTTTCCTTTATTTTAAAATATGAATGTATTTGTATTTGCAGCTGAGAAGGAGAAACTTAATTTGCAAATTCATTGAAACAAAACAGTGGTTTCAATGGGAATCTATTAAGAAAATATATACTGGTATTATGAATTTGTTACTTTCCCTGTTTGTATTGCGTTAGCTAAACAAAACCAGTGTACACATGGATAGTTTAGAAACAGTGTCACTTAACTTCTTTAAAATTATTTAGCAAGTTAAATATGAGCAGTGCACTAAATATTCTTTGCAATGCACTAGATATTTAGTCACACTTTCCTTTTTGTCCTAACGAGAGGAAGTGCCCAGAACTGCGCAGTGCTTTGTTCATTCTCTCTTAGCGCCTGGGAGGGTGGTTTTGGTGTGGCCATCAGTGGGTAGGACGCACTCCCATGTGATGGACCAGGTCTGTGGTTTACATGAGGGGGTCTGTCCTGGCTGAGGACAGTAGCCATACGCTTGTTTATGTGCCTTAGTCCTGTTCCACGTGACTCCAGCACTTGTGTCTGCTCACACAAGTGCGTGCAAGGCCGTACTATAACGCAGGAGCAAACTGTGTGGTAAAAGCAGGGATCAGCCTTCTGGCTTAAAGCTCTTATTTTGAGCCTCGTTATGTAGTTACTGGAAACAGGAAGGAGGCGTGTTGCCACCTGAGAGAAGCTGTCTGCTGCAGTGCATTCAATTTACAAAAACTTCAACTGGGGTGTATTTTTAGCACAGACAGCTGGCTGATGCACAGCCTGCGACTAATGGAGCAAAACATACTTTTGTTTCAGTGTCACCCTACAATTTTGTTAATTCTCATGCAAGCAAAAGGGCCTAGGACATCAGAAATTAGCTACTAAATGAGATGTTTAAATGGGGTTTTAAAACTTTGGCTTCTGACCTGCTGATAATACCAAGAGAACAAGACCTTTTCTCAACCTGAGTGAGCTTACAAGTGCAAGCATACAGAGATTAATTTTTTTTTTTAAGTTAGCAAGCACGGAAGGACCATCATAGCAAATAAATCTAAATAGCATGAGTGTGTTGGCCATTTAAGGGAGAGAAAACAAATGGGTCAGAAGGATCATCTGAGCCATGGCAGCTTAAAACAAATAACGGGAGTGGTCTCTCCCTTTCAGGTGTAAGTATCTATTGCTGCTCTGCTTGGAAATTGAAGAGTAAATCTTGGGTGTTTCTGTTGCTATGAGACACTGTAGAAAATGATGTGATCTTTTTGTTTTGCAATTCTTCCTACCTTAATCATGTTGAACAGCAGTTGCCTTGTACCTGTCCTACTGGGGAGACGCATTTGTCTCTGAAACTGCGAAGAAAGAGATAAGGAATATTATTTTTACAAAAATGGATCCAAGTGGGAACAGTAGATTAGGCCTAAAAGCTGAAACTGTTAAGAACTCCTGGCTTCAGAGGAAGATTTTTTTAACCAATTTATTTTCACTTCTTTTCCAACTCCCCTTAGCTCTGTTTTGAACCGTAGGTACCACCTGAAGCTTGGTTTCATTTCTGAAATGTCTGTTTGAGTGATCAGTGAAACATCTCTGTAAAATAATTAATCAGAACAATTGAACTTGATCTCTGGTAAACCAGGTGAGCTCCTGTGCTCTGCATGGCCAGGCTAACATCTGCCCAGAGACCAGCGAGAGAGATGTGGCTGCCGCAGCACGCCAGCAGGCTGTGCCCTTAGCTTCGTCTCTGGACTGTGCTGTGCCCACTCCTCTTACTCAGGATGTAATCAAGTGCAGTTCTACACCACGTAGCGTAGTGGTTTCACCGAATAAAAAAGAGTGGGAGAAGGCAAAGGAAAGGAGAACAGAAGAGGATAGGATGTAATATAAATTCCTTCCAGCTCTGTTCACTAAGACATCTTTCTACAAAGAAACGTTCCAAGGTCTGTGTGACGTGTAGGTCTTGTGTAAATCCCCAAGTAAATGCATAGGTGCTGTGCTGGCCCTTTGACCAGGGTGAATATTTTCCTTAGCCTCAGTGTAACTTGTATCAGTGCTCTACTTGAAAATCTGTCTTTCATCTGGCAGATAATTGACACACCTTGGAAGTGCCAGCCCTTTTAGGGGAGCATTTAGAATGAGACAAGTGAGATCAGTGTTAGTGCTTGAGGCTGTAACTTTACTTTCTCTGAGTGATTCCACATCGCTTACAGAACAATTTTGTTAGTGGTTTGGGAAGTCTTTTTGCTAATGAGCCAGAACCGCTCAAAGCGCCTGGAATGTTCTTCTTGGATATAACGTTCTCCTCAGCAGAGTTTCCCGTGGTGTAATTTCATTTACCACTCAGTTGTGATGCCACAGAGCCATCTGATATCCACCTAATTAAATTGTTTTCAGCCTAAATTGTTACAGTAAACCCCAAAGGTACTTCAGAAAAGTGAATTCAAGCGTGTCCAAGGAAGTTTGCAATAAAACTTTTTGGGAGGGTAATCTGTTATGTGAGATTCCTCAAGGAAGAGTTTGAGGGAGTCTGACAGAATAAGACATGGTCACCCTGCACAGTCTCGATTTCCTGCACTTAAGGTAACTGATGGGTAGAGCTTTTGCAGCCTTGGTTTAAGGGGCCTTAGTGCTTCATTTGACCAGTCCAGCTTTAGCTGCTCTGCCTTTTTCTCCATCTTTTCAATGTGGCAAACTTAGGTGGTGACTCTCAGGAAATTCATGTCCTCTTGGAAACACCTGGTCGTTACACATTACCTTTTATTTTTGCCTTGATGAGATACACACATTTTACAACGGTCGCTGATGATCTGACCTTGCAAGTACTCCCCTGTAGCCTGCCCACTGAACAGTCTCTTCAGAGTCCCTTCGGGATGAACAAGGACCAAGAGTTTGTGTCACCAGCTGAGAGACAATTTTTATGTGTGTGACAACCACCAGGAAAAACATCAGCAGAATTGGTTCTGCCACCTCAAATCTAGCTAGCTCTGTGACTTGACGGTTCTTCAGGAGAGAACTGGCAGCAGTACTTCCTCAGAGAGGGGCCCTAGGACTCTCCTTCTGTCACCAGAGTAGTAGCTGTAACTTGTATTCCCCCATGAAGATTTTACTTGAAAACATTCAAGATTTTTCACCCTGTATCCTGCATGAAGCATTTCACCTATTGCTAGACGTTTATCCCCCTTCTCATTGATAATAGCCTGTATAAATGAACACATACAATTAGAAGCCTACAAGAATGTCTGTTTTTCTGCAGATTGACATTTCCAAATGCCACTATCTGGTAGACTTGGATACAGCAGCTGAAACTCCAAGGGAGCCGAGATATTCCTCCCACAAAGAAGAGTGGGTAACCATTGCCTACAAGCCATTCCTAGATGCTTCCAGGTATGTTTTACACGTTTGAAATGGAGGGAGAAAGGCTGGCAGGTCTGTGAACTGATTCTGTTCAGTTGTCTGCTTGCAAAAGTAGCTACGTACAGCGAAGAAAGATACATTGTGAAATGCCAGCTTGAAATCCAGTTTTCAGTTAAGGCAGCGTGCTGGCTACAGTGGAACCTTTGTCAAACTTTTACTTGCAATATTTATGAACTATGTTGCTTTAGAGGGTAAAGCTAGCTAAGAGCTCTCATCATGTAGTGTCATAACAGGACAGAGAGGCTGACTGGAAAAATCTCTGTGAAAAACTAACATAGAGTTCAGTGCCCTCCTATTTTCTATGTGAGACCTTGTTACTTCCTAGTAACGGCCCTCTGGGGAGGGAGGCTGGTAGAAGTGTTTGAACAATGAGAAAGAGTGGTAATGTTAGAGAAACTCCCAGGACTGCTCTGATGGATGTTCCTGTCTTGCTGACACAAACAAGTTTTCTTGGCAAAGTCTTTCATGAACTATATTTTCTGAGAGACCGGCTCTTACATTCAGGGAGGACTTTAGGAAGGGAGAATGTGGTGGCCAATGAGTCTTATTAATGAGACAACAGGAGCATCTGCATAAGAGTTTTGCAAAGGACTGCTTGTGCAGAGCGTTTAACCCTAACGTGATTTTTTTGCTTTGGAGACACTTTCATGTGGTTTTAAGGCTGATCTATCTTGCTATCCTCTGCTGAACAGCCAAGCCTTGATTGTTTGGACCTCATCTAAAGTCCTTTGAAGTCAGAGGCAGCGAGTCAGCTCCAAATGAGCCTTTAACATACCGTGGGCCAACTCTGGGGATGGAATTTGCTGGCAGTGCTTTCAGAGGTAGCGGCTGCCTGCTGCTGAGGTGCTCGCCTGCCGAATGAAAGCAAAGTGAATTCTTCTGGTATGGCTGTACTTCCCACAGACGTCTCCAGAACGTCCTGGATTCTCCATATCAGGAGATCTTTGGTAGAGGAAGGCTTTGTCTGTGGCATGGGGCTTTTTCCATTATTGCGCTTTCAGCACCCACCCGTAGCCTCTGAACTTGTGCTTAGAGCTCATGAGAGGCGTACGACTGCTCTCTTTTCTCAACCCCTTTATATTTCCCTTAGAGGCTGTGCCCTGCTACATACAAACCAGCACCTGTCTGGGAGCAACAGCACAGTGTGTCTGCTCCTTTTGTGCACGGAGTCGAGTCTGCAGCTGTAGGCCTTGCCACAAGATGGACACAGGTGTTTCGATTCCACCCAGACTTTCACCCAGGTTTTTTGTTCATTCCTGACTTGGCTGGGGATTTGTCCTGCAAGGTTTCCTGCATATCTGATGCTACCACAGTCCTGACCTTACTGCAGCCTGCAGTGCTGACTGGAATCAGTGCAAGGAGTTGAGCTAGAGCTAAATACATCCCTCAGCACTGAGCTGAGTCCTTGTCACTCTCTTCAGTGCTTTGATGCTCTTTCTGTATGAGTCGCTCTGACATTTTTCTTTGTTCTTTTTTGCCCTCCTTCCTATTGGGGGAAATGGATAGCATTAGGGAATTTCCTTATTTACAGCTAACCTCCTGCGTCCTGCCAAGCATAAATACCTGGCTGGCTTCTCAGGCATTTGGCTGAATACACAGGTAGATGTGCTGTTGCTTCTAGGGGAAATGCTGTCAAAGTACTTCCTGCCAGACTGAGGCTGGCAACTTCCTCCCATGCTTGGCAGTGAAAATCTGTGCATTTTGATTTGATATATCATATCATATATGATACTGTGTGTTCAAATTAGATAATTTAGACTCCAGATAGATTCCCAAGCTTTATGTTTCTTGTTGGCTAAGTGTTTCTGCAAGCCTGCAGCCAAACTCTAGTAATCCATACAGTACAGGGACGTCGAATTGTGTGTGTGTGTTCCTTTGTGTCTGTTTTGTGAAGGGAGAGCGCACGTGGCTGTTACTGCGGCACTACCGAAGTAATGGCTTGGCTTGTTGTGGCAGAGGAAGCATCTGACCACGGAGCAGAAGCTTGTTCTGAGAAGCTGGGAGTCACTGAGAGATCCTGAAATTTCAGAGCATACTGACCCTGGTAATGACGAGATGTAAAGGGGGGATGGCGAAAGGAAAGCGTACTCCCTGGCCAAGCAATCACCAAAACCTTAGAGCGGATCACCTAAAGGTGGTGGGGAGGGAAGGGGATCTTTCTGGCTGCTGTGTCCTCCTTAACAGAAGATGCTGTTGCGTTAGTGGGAGACTGGAATACAAGAGGGTTTGCAGAGCATGTCTCAAGAGTAGATCAGGCAGTTAGATCCTTAGCCCTGCTGGTGTCGCCTGTCAGCTTCCTCTGATCCCTTTCTTGTGCTGTGTGGAAATTCCCCGTGCTGTTCCTTATCAAGGCCTCACAGCTGGAGCAGAGGGGAGGTGTGGTGCCTTCCCCGGCGGAGGAGGCCAGGTTGCCATAGCAGCAGGTCTGATTTCCATCCCTGCTGTTAGTACCTTGAGAGCTCCCACAGTTTGGAGCGCTGGGCTCTGTCCCTGCAGCAGTCACAGGTGCGGCAGCTTGAGCGCACGGTGCTGGTGAAGGACCAGAAGGGCATGTGCTTACCTGGGGGGCATCACTGGTGCTGAGGGATAAGAGAACCAGCAGCATCTCCCCATCTTGTCACCTTGCTTGTCTGATGGATCTTCTGTTCCCTCTGAAGAAGAACAGGAAGCCAAGAACCATGGCCTGCCTAGGCAGGACAAATGCATAGCACCAGGCACTGCTTCCCAGGACAACTCATGGTACAGTGAAGAGCAAAAAGAACAAACCATGAAAGGTCTGATCTGCCCTGTTTTTAGCCAGTGAGTCATTTAAAGCTATCACATTTAAATTTGAGTGAGGAGCTTCAACTTCGTAATAGTGGCAGCAGGCAAATATCTTTGCATTGTTTTGCATCCAGGCATTGGAAATTTGCTGCAGCATCCATATAAAAGTTTCCTATGGCAAACGTTCATAATCGGTCGGTTGAGCTCCTTGCTCTGAGTGTGTCATAGCATTTCTAAAATAAGACTGTTCTTGGCTTTGGTTTTTTTTTTTCCCCCCAGAGTATGACTGAGTTGTAACTTGCATAAAATAATAGGGCTCAAGAAATTCTCAGTAGATTGGCAGCTGATAGATGAGTTAGCTAGTGGCAATTTCAGATCTACCTAGCGACTGAATGAGATGTGAGTGTCTCTTTTAAGCTGCAAACCCAGACGTTAACTACTGTCCTTGTGTTGAGATTGGAAAACCTCACCTGCAAAGCAAGTACTACTGGTGCATCTTTGTGTCTGTGGCTGCAGCAGTCTCTCTTGCTTTTAGTCAACCCTTGCTTTGCTTGCTTCTGTCCTTATCCCGGTCTGTAGAGTACCAAGCCTGCTAGAGTGCGCGCTGCAGAGCCTTAAAAGGAAGGATGCTGAGACTTGTGAGTCTATCCAGCTGGGAAGTTCTCTGAGGACATCAGTGATGCCCTGAGACTTTTTCAGGGATGCAATAAGTACTTCCACAGTCCGCAAAGTTGTTGGCAGGCCTGACAGCGGAGAAACTATGGAAATCCCGGGAAAAAGACATCTGTGGTTTTGTTTTGTTTTATTTTGAGACGGCAAATCTAGGCCATGCTGTCTTAAAGAGTTGAGAAATTGATCGTTCTGGGGAGTTCAGCTGCAGGAGAGCAGCAGTAACACAGCTGTAAGAGCATGTTAGGTGCTAGAAATTGGTAACCTGAAAGGATCCCAGAGCTAGTAGATCTGTGGGGAGGGTTCTTCCTCAGGTCAGACACAGCAGTGTGTGGGTAGAGCTGGTGAAGATGGTTCAAGAACTGCGATGATCTAGGCATCTTTCATTTCTGGGCATGTACCTTCCCTCCCTTCCCAGCTCAGCAGAATGACACATCTCTTGAATTTGGCACCTGCTTCCACACAATGATTTGGAAATGTCCCCTGCTACCTACGAAGTGTGAAAACGCTATAAAAGGGAAGGAGGAACAGAAGATGTGTCACTTTGAGCTGAGCTGTGAGGGAAGCTGCCAGTGTGGATTTTAGGTCTGCAGCTCCATGGCTGTATAGTGAAAAAAACATCAAATACCTCCCCACCCAAACCCAAACTCCAGCTCTTGCTCTTCGGAAATAAATGACCCCAGCAGTTCAGTTCGCTTCTGAACCGGAGGCTTCTGAGACTCGCTGCAAGTCTCACACTGACGTCAGCAAGTGCAAATGTAAATCTCAGCTGGCTCTGATAAATGGTGCTGCTAATTGAATTAGAGAGCACTCCAAGCCACCAGCTAATTATGCTCCTCAGGAAGCTGCTTTGCCAAGGTCCATTTAATTCTATATTGGCTGAGCACTCTGAATCTGGCACAGAAAAGGGGAAATATATTACAGTTCCCCACTGAGGAGCACATATTTTCCAGCTCTTTAGGCTGAGCTGTCTGCTTGCTCCAAACGCTTAGGTTTGCTATAAAAAAAAAAACTTTAGTGCAAAAATAATGCTTTCGTGCCCTTGTTCTAGCATATCAGCACCCTTGTTTGATAAGAGACTGTCTCATTCCCTTTAATGGTGCTTTCCACCATGTTACATGAAACATTTTCCCTACTTTTGTTTTACAGGTAGCTAAACTTCTTTTTAGGTGCGTGGTTGATTCAAAATTTAACACCTAGAGGAAGTGCAAACATGAATTAGAGAGCTTTGATCATGATCTTCCCGTGTATGCTCGTAGCTAGAAGGTACTACCTCTTGCCCATGTGGCAGAGATTCAGCTTCCTCCTGCCTCTTCTTTCTGCCATTCCCTTCTGTCCTTCCTTCTCCTGCTTCTTTCTGAATTTTGCTGTCACTGGGGTAAGAAGTTCAGTAGGAAGAAGAACGTATCACCACTACCTGTACTTGACTGCTGCTGTTCCATGTCGGTCTGTGAGCTTGGAAGGGGAGCTGAAGTGTGCTCACTGAGCAGTCCTTGCTTCCGTTCCAGAAGAGCCTCCCCTGGCGTTAGTAGAACAGGACTGTGGAGTTGCTTTCTCCTGAAGTCCAGGAGGTAATCGAACAAAATATACTTAGCACCAAATGTGCTAAATGAGATTTACAGCTCTCCACTCTAAGAGCGTATATTTACTGTTTTGAGGGAGGAGTACAGGAATGTAGATCAACTGTGGCCTTTATATACCAATTCACGGTATTGTTATTTGTCATGAGTGCCTTAGCATTATGGGATACACGGTGGTGGGAAGAGCAGCTGTCTTTGTGCTCTGCATTTCTTGTCATTTTCCACCCTCGGTATTTTTTTCCATCAGTTATTCCTCTCTCTCCTTTTTTGATCTCTTTTGATTCTAAGCAAATGCCACGAAGACCATGTGAGCCCAGTCACGTGAGCTGCATTGGGTCTGTAACTCAGAATGCGAACAAGTAAAAAGTAGAGGAAGTCTTTCTCACGAACTCCTCTTTCTCATGAAAGATACAAAGAAGAGGAAGTACAGACAGGATCGTGGTGTTTCTGCAGAGCTGTGAGAAGCACCAGCACTGAGGATAAACACGGGCGCTTAGTTCTGCTGCCCCAGCAATCGGTTCCACCATTGCTGGGCTCCCGCGGCATCGTGCAGTGCTGGCCTGTGCAGGTTGTCAGCGTGTAGATGCACCCAGGTCTAGGGGAAGATGTGAACTGGGTGCTGGTGTTTGACTGCTGTCAGCTCTACATCTGGACTGAGCAACTGAAAGCTACAGACTGAATTCTCCGGACCTCAGCCTTCAGCTGGAAGTGCTGGCTTCCAGTCTGTCCCTCAGCTAAACCACACGAGGCTAATTCAGCAAATTACACCTCGTCTTAACCCGAGCACACACCCTGAGCTCTGGGGAATTGGGCTAGTTTCTGTCCATTTCTTACAAAGTAGTAGCAAACTGGTTACTCTACCTTATTTTTCAATTTCCTTGTTTTGAACAGCATCCCAAGCAGCTTGAACACAGTTGCTTTTTCTTGGTTTTCTTTCTTTTCTTTGACAAAGGGAATTGAAGTGAAACCACACCATTCATGGAGAGCAGCTGTGGTGGCAAGGCTGGGTTGTCAGGCTCAGAGGAGGAGATGCCAGAATAAGTTCAGCAATGACATGATATTCATTAACTGCAAGAGATGGAAGCATAAAATCAAGCTCTTGTATTCAAAGGGATGACTTCTACTGGAGGGAGGGCTGACCTCCAATCTCCAGGCACAAGGAAATGACAGCTGCAAAAAACATTCCTTATTCAGAATGCACCAAATTTACCCTCTTCTGCCTAGTTATTTGCCAGTAAGAGATTCTGCTTTGAACATGTTCCCAATTCCAGCACCTCAGGAATTCAGAAAAAACAACCATTTCCAGTGATTCTTTTATTGAAGAACTTTGCTGCGTGCTTTACAATTTGTGAAGGGCCTAAGTATTATCAGTGAGCTTTTCGTTCTTCAAAGTGAAGCAATCAGCGTTTTTATATCCTAAAGGACATGATGAGTGGCTTGGCGAAAAGCAGCCTTACAAGATGCCTGATGCTGAAAGGAGCCAGTTTCACAGTTAGAAGCGGGACTCGTAAATTTTAGGAATTTGGACTTGCTCAGTCTCTTTGATAGTAGACTGCTTTCTGCCTCAGTTTCCTCTCTCCAGTGCGGGAAGAATACTGCTCTGTCATTTTGTCTGTCTAAGGAGGGAGCGTTTCAGCTGAAAAAAGCCTTGCTTTGTGCTTGTGTGTACGGCATCTTACCTAACAGGGCCTCGCTGCTGAGTGGTGCTATGCCAGTGCAAGTAGGTATCACCAGTCTTCTGAACGGTCTTTTTCCTCTAAGTTGCAGGAGATCGGGAGCTGCTTGTTCTCGTATGAATTACAGTAAGGCTGTCTAAGAACTCCAGGAGCCTCCAGGGAGTTGTAGTTCACAGAGGCAGTTCCTGCCATTGTTTTTTGGACTGCGTTTTTGAAAGGTAGCCAGTGTTGCCTTACAGTAGGCAAACAAAACACACTTCATCTTTCTTCTGAAAAAGTGACTTAACTGGATGTCCAGAACCTTCCCTGTGTTACCAAAGCTGTGTGATTTGCAGGGCCCAGCAAGTACATGCTGGATCTGTGTACCATCCCTGACCACTCAGCATGCTGCAGGTGAAACCTGAGTGCTGCTGCTGCTTTTCCAAGCTTTATGTGGGTAGGGTTAGACTTTTATGTCTGTCCAAGGCTGATAGTTTACCAGCAAGTCGGTCTTGAAGAGATAAGCTTCCATGCTGAGGAAGCAAGACTCTTCTCCAGCCCTGATTTCAATAAATTGCTCGAATTTATGAATCCTCTGGCAAGGTTCAGTGCTGCTGCGGAAGGACTTTGTGTCTGTTTGCTTCACATTTAAACCTGGATTTTACTACTAGTTTGCTCAGTAAGAGAATACATGCATTTAAAATGTGCTCAGCTAGCATAGCTCCAGCAATTAGCAACCAAACAAAAGCAACTAATTTGGTGCAGCCATTAAACCCTTCATGCTTGAGTACTCAGTTGGTCCAAATGTTGCAAAGTGCTGTGAAATGCCAGCTCCAAGCACTAGCAGGGCATGGAGTGAATGCTGGCAGCCTGCAGCAAACTGCCTTGTAGGCTTCAGAGCAGTCCATCCCTCTTTAATTCAATACCCTCAACAGAAGATCAGCACAAGAGCAAATCTTCAGAATGCCAGTGCCCATCAAAGCTTCTGTCTGACCTTTGAACAGGCGTGGAGGAATAGGTGGCCAGAAAGATTGGCTAGAAAAGATGCCAGGAGCTAAATGCCGCCTCGTTATCCTTCACCTTCACAGGCCTGTCTGTATGATAGCAAAGGCCGACAGGGCTGTACTGTGAGTTTTTTGGACGGTGATATCCAGAATCTAAGTTTCTTTCAGTAATTACAACACCTTTCGGCCCTCTTGCTCCCTTAATCCTACTGGAATGGATAGCAGGCGTGCTGAAGAACTGGGCAGGCTGCTGCTCTTAAACTGGTGATGCTGGCACAAACCAGCTTTGGCCCCATTGACAAGAAGAAAATGGGACTGGGCTTCACATACCTGAGCCGTTGGTATTCCTCATGTCACTGACTAACCAGCTTTTGCAGAGCCTCATTTGTATCATTTTGAAAATATGAACAAATGAGCGTTTTAAAGGTGATTCAGTTTTGCTTTCTGGTTTCAGGTCCTCAAAGCTGCTGCGTGCATTCTACGTCCCTCTTCTCTCAGAACAGTACACGTGGTATGCAAACTATACCATTCTGAAATCCCGGAGGTCGAAGCAAACCAAGAAAAAAATGGGAGCCTAGCAACACACCTGGGCAACAAAACCAAAAGCATCTGCTGACACTTTTGGACAGCTGCCTAAGCCATCTTCAGTTCCTTTTTAGAAAGATTGTGCTTGTAAGATTCACTAATAAATATTTACCATGAAGTGATTTCACTCTGCCAGGTTTCAGCTGTAAAAAGGGTGCATCATCTGCTTTCAGTTCTGTGTCACGTCTCTGCTCTGTCTACAGAGAACATATCGGTAAGAAACCATTTGAAAATCCAGCAACCACCTACGAGTGTATTATCCCTGCTGCTCCCTGTGTTATTATCCATCACACTAGAGAAGAGAAAAACGTGGGGAAAAAAGGAATGACGGTATGAGATTCTCCTCCAGGTTGCAATGTGGCACTGAGAAAATCCAGCTCAGCCTCTGTTTCTCTCTCCTGCCTCTTACTCCCTCCACTGTCCTCACCTGCTTAAGTAGATCTCACCTTCTCCTACAGATCTTTTTTCAGGTAACAATGTTTAGGGGTTTTTTAAAGAAAAAGGAAGGGGAAAAGAGGAAAACACCTGAGAGACAATTGACTGAAATGCACTGAATGTCCAGGAATGAAGTAGCGTGCACCACAGAGAACCAGCCTAAAGTTGCTCTGTCCAGGAGGATAAACCTATGCTTTTGGGAGGAAGAAGAACCCAGGCTTAGGAGTTGAGCCAATTTTCTGTTTTAATGGGATCATAGTGTTCTTGTTGTCTGTGAAACCAAGGTTTGTTTGCTATTACACTGACTTTTTTTTAAGAGACGTGTAACGTCTTTTGAATTCTAGACTACAGCACATTAAAATTTCTTAAAATCCAGAGAGAAGAGGGATTCACTTACTTTTTGCAGTTTTGCTTCCCAGGATAGACTCTATATATTACGTTAGTCCAATATGCCTCAGAACAATGCTGTATTTATTATAACTCCATTTTTAAAACATGCAGTATGACAGTCTCGATCAAGTGAGTTGTTTTTACTCACATCTTTGGCCAGTCTGTCGGTTAAGAGCAGAGCAGGATGGGAAGGGCAGGCTGCACCCATGGGGCTGTGATTTAACACGATACTACTGGGACAGCAGGAGGAACTGCATGAGGAGCAATGCATGGGCTGAATCCAAAGAGCAACTTTAGAAACAGGGAGGAGAGGTGTTCTGAATCCCCTGCATTTTATTTAGGAGGAGTTTTTTTAATGGTATTGTTGGAAACACAGCTTATAACGTGCAAAACATGACAGAAGCAGAGAGTGCACTGCTTTGTTGTCTGGATGATGCAGCATAGAGAATGCAGTTTTTTCTGTTGCATCCCCACTGTATGGAGGAGCAGCTTGAAGCTGAGACTATTAAATTCAAACTTTGAAGGCTTGGGGAAAAATCTGTGGTCTCTTAATCTTGCCTCTCTTCAGAAAAAATGGATTTCTTCCTGTGCAAGTATCACCCTTCGTAAGAGTCAAATGTTGAGCTTCAAAGTTTTCAGCCAAGCAACCGGTGTCTTGGGTGAGCCGGTCTGTCAGGTCAGAGTCACGTTGCAGATCAGTGTTGTAGTTCAAACTGTTCATAGTGCGCCCCCGCTTCCCTCCAGCTGACTCTGCCCCTCATAAAAGTTTCCATGTGTTAAACAGGGCTCTGCAGTGCCAGTAAATCAAACCCAAAACTCTTGCCCTGCTTGTTGCCTCTCCCCTTGCTAATCTCTGACCTCGAATCAAATAAAGAAACAAATGCAGTTAAAGAACCAATTGCACCTCTCTCTGGTGCTGTTTGTGTGACTGTTCCATGTTGGCATAGCCCATAACCTAATGTGAAAAGACAGTACGTAAATATCCAGTAAAAATGACTGTGGCTGTTCCACCTTCCTGTCCAGTTTGATTCCTGTTTTGTGATGGTGATCAGAGAGTGATGACTTGACAATAATTAGGAGTTACCAGTGTTTTCCAGAGGAATTGTTCCTACTAGTAAACGCAGGTGTGGCTACAGGCAGTGGACAGCTGGACAGCTTTGCATTCCAGAGTTTCAGATCAAAGCAAGGACTCCACTGTTGTCACAGGCAGTGCTGCCAGGCATCCAGAATGGAGCATAGCGGCAATCTTTTTCTAGAAAAGTGCAAGCTTCTCTGTGTTGCACCCAGCATGGAGAAGGCTGCTCTGGCCTTTTCTGGTTTCTAACAGTCTGTATGACATTGTGGTAGCACTTGTCCTGCCCGGAGCGAGCAAAGAGACACTCCCTGGGAGGTTTCCTCTGCCCCACGTTGAGATGGACTGCTTGGAAAGACTGTCTAACACAGAGCAGGGTGGAGAGCTTATCGCTGCACTTACCCTGCCTCAGAACATGCTCTCCGGGTGCTGCCCTGTGCTGCAGAGTCCAGCCCTGTTTTGTTGGTCCGACAAAGAAGAGGCAGTTTTGACGTTTCTTGTTTTAATCCTGCCCTACTACTTGGCTGGGCAAGCTGCACTTTCAACCATACAGTGTCCGAGTCTGTGAGAAGCAACAACAGGGCCACTGGATGTGGTTTTTCTCCTGAGTTCATAAGCAGTTGCCCGTACTACCAGGTCTGGTTTGAGTCCAGCCCAGTGGTCAAGGCACAGTAGCAGCAATCTGCAGACTTGGGCTTTTGCCTTGATTTTGGGGACAGGTCGCTTTCCACATCTCTGACATTCTTTCCACCGCTGCAAAATGTTTTTTGGTAGGTGCAGTCCTTGCCTGCATTTCACAGTGCATTGCACATTGGTTCCTGGTCTCTGCTTAGTGGTGCTGTAGGTGTGAGATAGCGAAAGGTCAAAGCAAGAGGTGCTGTTATCAGGTTCCTTGGCTTCTTACCTTGCTGTTTTAAGATGGAGTGGGTGATTGACTTTCCCTGGCAGGAGGCTTTTATGCCTCTGCACAGCCTGGTGTGCTCCAGCATCTCTGCTGGCTCTGACTGCACCACTGAAGAGACACAACCTGCTGGCTTGCAGCCTCTGCAGCTGGACTCAGGCCCTCCTCTAACAATTTCTCAGGAATATGCTCCAGGGACAGGCAGAAGCTCTCCAGCAGCTTTATGCAATGCTGTGTGAATCACGCAATAAACAAGTCCAAACCCTATTATTAGACTTTGGAAACAGCTGCCTTAGAGACAAGTTTGCTTATAAATATCGATAATTTTCTCTCTGGCTCTTCATTAGGGAAGCTGGCAAGCAAAAGGGATCTCTGCTTCTCCAGAATCTGTCTGCCCCTGCTGATGTTGCTTCTTCTCACCCGAGCTCATCTTCCTCGCTCTTGCAGCTTCCCAAGTTCTGGCTGTGCTAATGGGACATCCACTCCAATGCCAGCTGGCTGGCAAACGCGAGCTATTTTGGAGGGGAACAGGAAAACACAAGTTATAAGCAAATGGATAGAGGACTTGCCATGGTGACCATAGTGCGCTGGCATGCAAACCAGCTGCTTTAGTGGCTAAAGCAGAATTACTGGGTCCGGTTTCTTACTCAGCTCCAACACCACCCTGCATGACTGGAAGAAAGCCCCGATGCCTCATGAAACAGGGATGACAACACTTCCTTTCTCTGTCGCGTTTGAGGAGGGACAGATTTAAGGCTCACCAAAAGTCAGTGGAAATGCCAGCTTCAGCAAGGTTTGCAGCAGGCCCCTGGACTGCCCAGGCTGCCTTGTGACACTCACACGTTACACATCTCCCCTAACAGGGCTGCTGTCTCGTTCAAGGCTGTTGGTTTTCCCATCCTAATGAACTAGAAGTCTTCTCCCCGTGCCAAATCTACCCAGCACAGAATCTGGGTCTCACTTTCTCTAGAGAGTTGACATTTATTGACAGATAATTCATGTCTGTAAGGAAAAGTAATGGTTAATTGCTTCCTCTTAATTAGACTCCTTGTCCTTCTGTCTTGCAGAGTTCGCTAACAAATATCTTTCTGGGAGTCCAAAATAAATAATTGTCCTCAGGTGGGAGCTGGTGCAGAATCCAAGGTGGTACTTGTCTTTCCTAGCAATAGCAGGCCTGGAGACAGGAGTCATTGTGAAGGAATAGATGGAATCCTCATTCACTTTTTTTGGCCACAGACAGGTGAGAGTGAATAGTAGTAACTTAGGCAGGAAAGAAGTGAGTGGTCTGATTTCTATATTTTGTGAGAATGTAGAGAACAAGGCAGAACTGTTAACTGTAGGACTTTTTTCTTTTTTTGACATCATAAAAACTCCCTAGGATTTTGGCCACAGCATGTATTTCGTGGTATACAAGCAGGGAGGTATTTTCTCCTAAAGACAAGGAAAGAAAAGGTTACAGGGTGCTCGCCAGCAGGCTCAGGGTTAATGGGACTGCCTCTTAAGCGTCAGTTATGGTCTAACATGCCTGCTGCATTACGATTTACAGGAATAGCAGAGTGTGTGTGTGTGTGAGCTTTCATTGTGAGAGCAGCTGTGAAGTCTGTGAGAGTCAGGTGACTCTAGAGCCGTATTACACCCCCCAAAAGCCTCCTTTTTGCTTTGGCTGTCTGGCAGTCACCACTTAGGGCACTCCAGTTACACTAGTAAAGGATTGTGCATGAGAAGGACTGCGAATTTTAGTATTTTTTACGGATGAGTTCACAGATGCATTTCTGTGGTCTTTGTACCTAACAGTGGGATAATGAAAACCGTTGATGTGCTTTTGTGCTTGGTCTTCGTGCCCTAAATAGCTTTGGCCAGTCAGCTGACTGAAATGCTGATGGTGCTTGCACAGAAAATACTGCTAAGGAAAGCTGGTGCAGGCAAAATCTGTGTTGTTCAACCTCCTGAAGGGACTCATTGACAAAAGAGGGCAGACTGTTGTCCGACATCTCCCCAGGAAGAGCTGGGTTTAGTTTCTTGCTCTGCTGGAGCTCTTGCTGTTTCTGGCAATCTGTTTTAACTCTGTGGCCGTCCTCCTTGGCTAGGACAGGGAGGTGTCCGGTCCTGCTTACCCTTAGTGTCATGTGAATTCCGCGTATGTTTTTAGCTTACTCTCCAGAGGCCGCAGACAGGCTCTGCAGTTCCTTTTGTTAATGAACAGAACTATTGTGCAGCTCAGCCACCCAGTACCACCTTCCTTTGCTCAGAAACCGCCCTGTAGTGTTTTGTCAGTCCAACGTGCTTGCTAACTTGGGAGGGCTTCTTCTCTGTGCCAGAAGTGCCCTCACCAAAA